TGCTACCTCATCCTGAGGCTTGCTCAGATTTGTCCTGCAACCATGGTTCAGGAACACTTTGACGTTTTCCTTTCCTTCCTCTCAGGGGTTGTTTGCTGTATCTTGGAAACCCTCTCCCCTCATCTAGACCCCCACTTTCCAGGGAGGAGCCATAGGAGGCAGCTTAAGGTATAACAGCAGGAGGAGCCTGGGGCAGTCCCTGACCTTAATGGGCTGCATTTGGACAGTATGGTTGCCTCACCCCCAGGAGCCTCAGGCTTGTCGTCTGAGTGCTCGTTTCTTTTCATTCTTTTGCTTGGTTCGATTTTTAAAGCTCACATTCCTTGAGAGTCGACCTGTGCCGGACACACACGTATCATCGTACTTAATCCTCACAAAAGTAATCGCGAACCCCCATTTTGCAAATGGGAAAACAGGCTCAGGAAAGCCACGTAATCTAGCCAAGAGCTCGGAGCTAGCAAAGGCGGCATTGGGATTTGAACCAGGCTGTGCTGGTCCTCAGCCCTATCGTATGCTAGTAGCTCTCGTGCTAGAGAGTCTCATCGGTAGGGCTGGGTTTGCTGATGTCTGAATTCCTGCTCCATTTGGTGTTTCGAGAATGAGCCAGACAGCTCCTGCTTGTGAGAGATGTCGGCCCCAGGCAGGAAAAGTGCTGAGGACACAGTAGGGATGGAGCTGGCTCTGGGGGTTGGAAGAAAATCTCGCACCAAGTTATTAATAGGTCCACGGGCATCTAGGCATTTCCCAGGCTTTCCCATTCCTTCTGTAATGCAAAAAAAAAAAAAAAAAAAAAAGAAAGAAAGAAAGAAAGAAAGACCCAAGAACTATCTAGAATAAATACTCAATTAGAAAATTAAATGCATGAGGCCTTCCCAGCTGTAGGCGAAGGGACTCACTCCTGTCCTGCAGGGTAACCAGCACACAGGAAGGAGTGCTCGCTTCTGACCCTCCCCCTGACCGGAAATGCTCTCGTTTGCCATCTTACTTGTTCCCATGATTTTAAGTCCCGATTGAAAGTCTTTCCCCTCCAGGAAGCCCTCCAGGAGCACCCCAGCCGGGCCCATGTGCACCTCCTCTGTGACTTCTGAACATCTGCTGCTGCCCGTGGTGGTAGAGTGGGCCCAGACCCTGTTCGTGCCCAGTGCACTCACTCCCCCACCCACTGGGGCTGCTGACGATGGACCATTCGAGCTGGGTCCGCCCTCATGGCAGGTGCCCATTTGAAGGGAAGTGTCTCTCTCCAGGTCACACCGTCTCCCTGGGACAGCCCTCGCCCTAGGATGTTATGAGAGGGGGCCGCTCAGCAGGCTCCCTGAGGCGGTCACCTGAGGACTCTGATGTGACTTAAGGCAGCCTGGCTTCTCCCCAGCCCAGCCCTGCTTCCTCCCTTCTCTGCAAGCCTCTGCCCCAAGAACATTCCCCAGTAACTTCCCTGCATGCCCAGGTCCGCCTCAGGGTCTTATTTCTGGGGATCTAACACGCAGCACCCGTGCGCCCCTTGGGTTGCCTTTCTTTTTGGCACTTGCTACTGTGGCCGCCTCCCTTTACAGCTACATTTCTCAAGGGTGAAGGGCTTTTCTTCCCGGCTGGACTCACAGAGCCTTTGATTGAGTTCAGCACACAACGTCCGACCTGCAGAGCCCAGAGCACGAGAGAGTATGCTCTTTACTTGTTTATTCCATGAAGATGGGGCATGACCAAGACGTAGTGTAGTGCTTAAGGAGCTTACACTCCAGTGGGGGGGGGGGGGCGGCAGATACACAGAGAGGGTGTGTTCCAGAAGAGAACTCAGGAACGATGTTGGTGTTTCGAGCACCCTGCCAGCCAGCTCCAAGGGGAGGGGGTCCAGCAGAAAGCACTCGAGATGGGTTCCAGAGCGGGGAAGATTCTGAGCAAGCCGTTCTTTGGAGGCCGTGGAAGGTCTGGGCAAGCAGCGGGAGGGGAAGGGAAGTTTTCCAAAGACTTTTCTCATTTGTGAGTGGGGAATAATAGCTACAAGCCTCAGGGTTGTTTTGAGGACAAAACTGTCAAATAAATCTATCAAATCCTCTCCAAATATAGGAAGCCACCTCATAGGCAGGCTCAGGATTGTAGGGAAAGAGAAGTCTGGCTGGGTACAGACAAGGGGTGGGGTGAGGTGGGGTGGGCACAGAGAAGGGGTGGGGTGGGCTGGGTACAGACAAGGGGTGGGGTGGGGTGGAAGGGAAGCAGCAGTCTCCATCCGAGGCCACTGGCCCTATAGAGAGACGGATGGGGGAAGTAAGAGGTGGGGCAGACAGAAGCTTCAGGAGCCCTGGGGGAAGTGAGCGGGTCTCCATGTCTCCGGCCCCGGAAAGTGCTTGGCACCTTGCTGTATGCCTGACAGGCTCAACAGACTCCCAGTCTGATGTGAAAACGAGGGGCGGGAGCAGCCGCGATGGGTATGTGCACACAGCTGGCTGGCAAGGTGCTCCAAAGAGGAAGAGGGGCCCAGGCCTTTGCAGAGGGCAGCATCCATACGATACAGGCATCAGCGCCTTTGGGTTGGAAGAGTTTTACACGGGTCATTTCACGTCACCCTGCTTGGAGTTAGGGATTTGCCTTCCCCAGAGACTGCAGGCTGGTGGTGCTGGGGAGGACATCACCCACACCCCTCTGCTGGGGGCCAGCAGAGCAAATGTGTCCAACGAGGTTGAGGGGGGAGTGGGGGGGTGGGACAGACCCTTCTCCGAAGTCCCTTGTGACCTCTGTGGCTGCTGTGCCCTCCTCCCTGATTTGCACATGGTTCCACGCCCATCCCAAGTGGCATAGACCAGTGGATTTCAAGTCCCTTCAGGTAGCCAGGCACCTGGAAGTCGGGGTGCTTTGTGCAGAGTGCCTTGAGATTCTGATAAGCTTGATTCCATCGTGTAAGATAGGAACACTTTTGCTAGCAGGAGAGCCAGCTATATTATATGTGCATTATGTTCTAATCACAACCAAAACACAGGCTGTCAAGCTCGTCAATGCCTGATGCATCTCAGGTCTGCCTCCCTGGCTCTCTGCTTCCTGCTCTCAGCCCCCCCCCGAGCCCAAGGCAGAAATGCTGTTTCCTCTCCCCCTTCTCTCCCTGCTCGTCCCGGCCCCTCCCCTACACCGCATCTATGCGGTGGATACGGACCCACAGGTTACACTGACTCTGAATACGTCTCCTATTCCATTCCGGCCACCTTCGTTCGGACAGCCACCCTCTCTTCTTCGAATGGCAGCCCCCGCCTGGCCTCCCCCAAGGCCCTTCTGAAACACCAGCCCCGTGGTCCTTCCTCTGCACCCAGCCTCTCAGGGGCTCCCAATCTCACGAGAGCCAATCGGGCCCATGACTGGCCCCCCGGTTTCACTTTCCCCCGCTTCGTGCCCTACATTTTTAGCCAAATGGAACTATTTGTCGTCTGGCACTGTGTTGCGTTCTCTCTAGCTGCAGGGTCTCCCAAACTCTGTTGCCTGGCTGTGTCTTCCTTTGATTGCATCTCAGATGGCACCTCCTTCAGGAAGTCCTCGGGCTCTCAGGGCAGAAATGCAGAAACTCATCCTCTCTTCCTTGGGTTCCTACAGCCTCCCAGCTGGGATCCTGCTACCTGCTTGGCCACAAACTTTCATCCTCTGAACAGCAGTGGGAACATTCTCTCCAGAAGGCGCATCTGGTCACGTGGTTCTCCATGCCCTTGGGCTCAGATCTAAGAGCACGACTTGGAAGGGCTTCTAGAATCTCGCTGTGGCAGATCAACCCCTAGGCTTCAACTGTCCCTAAAGACTCTCTTCCAGCCCTCCACCGAGCGCCTGCTCTCTCCCTCTGTCATTTGCTTACTCTGTTTCTTGTGTCTAGACCCTTCCCTGGCATCCCAGCTTTTCACCTCATGGCTCTGGGCTGTCTGCCAAATGCCACTTCCTCTGAAAAGTCTTCTTTCAATCCTTAAACTAGCTTACTTGTCTCTCCCGCAATCTATATCCTAGTGCCAACTGCTTATAGATTTAAGTGCTTGATTCATGGGGCTGTTGTTTCTTTTAGAATGTGAGCTGGGTAGGGGCTCCCGGGTGGCTCAGTCTGTTAAGCGTCTGACTTCGGCTCAGGTCATGATCTCATGGTTTGTGGGCTTGAGCCCTGCGTCGGGCTCTGTGCTGACAGCTCAGAGCCTGGAGCTGCTTCAGATTCTGTGTCTCCCTCTCTCTCTGCTGCTCCCGTCTTATGCTCTGACTGTCTCTCAAAAATAAGTAAATAGGGGCGCCTGGGTGGCTTAGTCGGTTAAGCGTCCGACTTTCGCTTAGGTCACAATCTCGTAGTTCGTGGGTTCGAGCCCCGCGTCGGGCTCTGTGCTCTCAGCCAGCTCAGAGCCTGGAGCCTGTTTCAGAGTCTGTGTCTCCCTCTCTCTCTGACCCTCCCCTGTTCACGCTGTCTCTCTCTCCTAGAAGTAAATAAAAACACTGAAAAAAAAATAAGTAAACATTAACAAAAATTTTAAAAAATATTTAGAATGTATATTTCGTTCTAGCCTGTGTGTCTAGCACTGCATAGAACAATCAGTAATAAGTATTTATAGAAGTATAGTATTTATAAGCTCAATAAGTATTTCTAGAATCAAGGACGAATGAATGCGTGCTCCTGTCCTTGCCCCTTGAAGCTGGGACTTCTCGCTAACTTGTCTCTGGGGGGTGGGGGGGTGGGGTGGTACATGGGATGCGCTTACTAAGTGTTTGCTAAATAAATAGATGAATGAACGATCAGCTTTTTCAAGCTCATTTATTTTATTATACTTAAAAAAAAAATTACACTTGCTCATTTATTTGCCCATCTGCAAGAGCTTTCCAACAGAATAGCGGCAGCCGGCCCCATGTTTTAAGGAAATCGTTAAAAGATACAGAACTGAAAATCCCGAGGCTGGAGATTTCTAACTGCTGGGGGTTGGCTGTAGCTCCGGAGCTTTCCGTGGGAGGCGGCAGGCTGCGGGAGGTCCTGTTCACTCCCTGTGTCCGTTTGTCCTGGCCAGAGCCTGGCCACCCGGCGGCCCCGCTGCGGCGATGGACCCACTGAACCTGTCCTGGTTCGAGGATGACCTGGAGAGCCAGAACTGGAGCCGGCCCTTCAACGGGTCGGAAGGAAGGACGGGCAGGCCTCACTACAACTACTACGCCATGCTGCTCACCCTCCTCATCTTCGTCATCGTCTTCGGCAACGTGCTGGTGTGCATGGCCGTGTCCCGCGAGAAGGCGCTGCAGACCACCACCAACTACCTGATCGTCAGCCTGGCCGTGGCCGACCTCCTGGTGGCCACGCTCGTCATGCCCTGGGTCGTCTACTTGGAGGTAGGTCTGCACTCCCCTCCGCTGCCGGGGAGCCTGGGGTCCGGGCTCCTCACCGGCTCCTCCCTGGTGCCTTCTCAGCTGGCCTGGCCCCTTCCTCCACTCTGGGCTTCGTTTTTCTCCTTATGAAATGGGCTTAATGTCTCTTTCACAATCCCAACTACCGGTTGGAGAGTGCTTACCAAGGGTCGAGTCCTCCATCCACGGCGTCTTCCCGTGCAGCCCGCAGACCAGCCCTGCGAGGTCACCCCACCACTACCACCATTTCACGGTGGTGAGCCAGGTGGTCAGAGAAATTCGGTGACTTCTCCGGCATCATGCAGGTGCCAGGTCCTGGATGGAACTCGGCTCGGCCCTCGGTTGATTCCTTACATGGTGTTAGAAATGAGAACAATGGAGGTAGATCCTCAAGGAAGGGAGACGTTCATGCTTCCAGACCCGAAGCTTCCCGTTCTTTCTTCCCGCTTCAAAAGTGGGGGCTGCTGCTCCGTGTGCTCCTTGTCCTTCGCCTCTTCCCCAGTTGCTCTAGCGCCCATGTCTGGGACCTCCAGGCGGGGGCCGCTGGGGGCTTTGCCACAGCCCCCTCGCTCGGGAAGGACCCGACGGCCAGGTCCTCGGCTCGGCCAGGACGGAGCCCAGCCCTGCACCTCCGAGTCGAGAGCAGGCAGCCCCTGCCGCGGTCCAGGCACCACGCCAGGCTTTTCGCAGACACAGACTCAGCAAACAGTCTCGCTAATCCTGGCAGTTGATACTATTCTTCTCAGTTTACAGACGAGGAGACAGAAGGTTTGAGAAACTGTCCTCAGATCGCACAGCAAGGGGAGAAACTGGGGAGTCCCTTCTAGGTGGATGCTTTTCAGGGCCGACAGGCAGAAGTGGGAGGGTCTGGGGAGCTTGGGTCTGGATCCTGCCCCTTTCTCTGCCTAGGACTCTGGAGTGGAGTCTGGGAACTGACCAGCCATTCAGGAAAGAGCCAGCACTGAGGTCACTGAGATCACCGGGCAGTTACCTTCCTGTCCTGGGCACGGGGGGGGGGGGGGGGGGGGGGGGGGGGGGGGGGGGGGGGGGGGGGGGGGGTACCCCTGTGCCACGGAGGCAAGCCCCTGGCTGGGAGGCAAGGGCTTCCACTTTTAAAGGAAAACATGACGTTTTGAAGACTTGAGTGGAGGAGACATTCAGAAGGAGGAGCTGAGGTGGGAAGCGGAGGCTGGTCCAACGTGGCATCTCTCCTGGTCTCCGCGCCTGGGGGGCTCCCTGTGTTTCCATGTGGCGCTCAGGTCATCCCATCCCTGGTTTCCTGTAGCTCAGCCCCAACAGGCTAGAACGTTCAAAATGAGTGTTAAGGAAGAACTCCAAAGGAAGCAAACAAGATAGCATGAAATCTACAGGTGCCACAGGCCAGGGGTCCCCTTCCTCCACGACTCACACGTCTGTGAGTCTGTCCACGCACGTCCTATCTGAGGGTCTCTCCTTGAGGACTGCTTCTGAATCCTAAGGCCTAGGCCCTTCCTGCTCCCTTTCAAAGGAGGGTCCCGGGCCTCAGACCATCAGAGGAGAATGAGGGGCGAGTGGCAGAGAAAACGACCTCTCTGTGCCTCGCTTTCCTTATCCACATAAAAGAGATAATAATAGTATCTAGCTCAGACATTGCTTGCAAATCTAATGAGTTAAGGGCTCAGAATGGTGCTGCACACACTAATGAGCAAGATGTAGAAGTCTGCTGTGACAATGGTGATGAAGAGGAACATGGTGGTGGGAGATACCCAGCACCGGTCCTCATAGAGACGGCCCTCCCCCTGCCCAGGCAGCCAGCCGCCGTCTGCCCAACGCGAGGCATGCTCTGCCCGCGGCTCCGTGCAAGGCTTCTGGGCTTCCAGATCCTACGCCTTCCCAGATGCTCCAGGATAGAGCCACATCTGTACCTTAGACTGTATGGGGCTGGGGGTGGGGGGGTGGTTCTGAGAACCTGTAAGGCCTTTGAACAGGTATTTTCAACATAACCAGTTCACCATTATTTTAAGGAGGAAGCTCAGTGGTTTGGGGGGCAGGGTGGAGAGCGGTATCGCAGAGGGTAGTGCTCTAATCTGCCCATTATTTCCCTTTAAAACAAGAGCTGGACCGTGAGCCCCAGTTACAGGATGTCGGCTCAGCCCTTCACTGTCCCGGGTGGCGCCTCAGCTGAGCCCAGCATCCTGCCAGAGCATTCTTGCAACCCATATACTCTGTGCTTTCTAAGAGACGCTCTTGTTGTCCAGAATTTTCCATCCTGTTCCTTTCCCAGCGATATTAGTGCCTCTGATAGCCTGCCATGTCTAGCGTGGGACTGGGTGTGCTTTATTTGTTCTGCTTAGCCTATGGAAAGCTGGTTTTGCCGTGAGAGAACCAGGTTCAATTCCCAACTCTACCACTTTCCATCTGGAGAAGGTCCTGACAGAAGACAGCCGGGGGTCACTTGTCGGCATGCACCCCTTTGAGGCGAGGGTTTTAGGTGTGCCTTTTCCAGATGGGCAGATGAGACTGAGGAGTGAATGGACCAGGGTCCCGTTTATTCACGCCTGCAGTGTGGCCCGGGCGCATCTGTGCCTTACTCTACCCCTAGGGCATTGTCTACCATCGGTGAAGAACCCCTAGGACCACTGCGGTGTGATGGACGCAGGTGTGGGGACATAATGGGGAGTACGTGGGGGCAAGGAAGTCTGGCAGGAAGAGGTGATGCTTCCGGAAGAATTATCCAGAGGAAGGAGCAAGGCTTTGGCGTTCCAGGCAGAAAAGAAAAGTACGCAAAGCTACAGGGCAGGAAGGGGGCGTAGCTGGCCAAGATTTCGGGGGGGCAGCAGTGTATCATTAACCTCAGAGGTTTGCTGTCACTGTGGTTAGACATGAGTACGAAGTGTTTGGGGCGGTGTCTGACACACAGTAAGTGCCGGTTCTCACCAGCAGTGGACCCCGAGAGCTCACGGCCCACGCTGTAGCTCGGCTTCCTGTGAACAGTGAAGCCAAGAAATGGTCCCTCCTCCGCTGCTAAGTCACCAGGGGACCCTGGGCAAGGCCACTTTCCTCGCCAACCCCATGGTTGACACCCTCGCAGTTATCACCCCTCCTCTCACGCTCTACGTGCCTGTAGTGATTTTTGCATAATTCGCTTCTCTTTTGACAAGCTGGATGGTCCTCCCCCAGACAGCTTAGAGGGAGCATGGATGTGCTGCCGGAGCCAGGTGCTTCAGTCCCAGCGCTGTGTCGAGCCCACTTGCTGGGGGGGGGGGGCCCTAAACTGGGGTCCCCTCACCCGTGAGGGAGATAGCAGCCCTGTCTTGTACGAGCGTGAGATGCCCACATGCCCACAGTCGGTATACGTGGCTGCCAGCAGTTTCTCTCGAATCTCTGAGTCAGCTGACCCCAGGACGTGGAGGAAAGCCCTCCCTTCTTCTGTGCTCCAGACAGGCCTTCAGGGCGGGGATTGAGAGCTCCCTAAAGGCAAGGACTATGCCAGCACTGTTTGCCACTGTACCCCAGAATCTAGCAGAGAGTCTGGCCCAGAGTAAGTTGCTCATAAGTGTCTGTAGGAAAGATAGAAGGCAGGGGAGAGGCAAGGAGGAAGAGGAAGAGGGCCCTGGTGGCTCAGACCTAGATCCCCAGCGACATAGAAGCAGTTCTGAAGTGCCAGTCTGGGGTGGGGGGTGGGGGGCTCAAGGTGGAGGGTGGACCAGGTGGGTCTGGGACCCTCCCAGCGGTGCCCTACTGGTAGACTCTACTTACACCCCAGGAGCTCCCCACCCCCCATCCGGACCTGATCTGCCATCTTGGGCAGCCCTGTGCTGCGATGTGGGCTCACGCGAGCCCAGAGAAGGCGGCTTCCAGTCTTCTGGGACCAGCTGCTGTTTCTTCACGTCCAACAACAGCAGCTGTTGTTCCTGACACTGAGCTTAAGTGCCAGCATTTGGTTTCACGGCTGGGAGCAGAGAAAATGGGCAGCACTGAGAACGGGCATGTTCTCATCGGCACTATGGCTGACAGTACCATGACACCAGGGTGGGGACTGGCCTGCCCCGGGCCCTGCGAGGGGCCTTTCCTGCTCTTCTTCCTCCTGTTGGGAGAGGCCCAGGATGTGTCTCTGTCCTGCCTCTGTGCTCAGGGTCAGGGTGCCCCAAACTTCCAAAGGTGCCTGGGCCAGCCCGCTGCGTGCCTGTGCGTGTAAACAGGGAGGGGGGTAGATGTGCATGGCCATACGGGAAAGTGAGTGAGTGGGGGTGGGTACAGGAGCGGGCCTCCTCAGCTCCATCATACAAAGATATACGGGGACAGCTCCCCCTCCCCGCCCCCTTCTGGTGTTCCCAGAGCGTGAGCCCAGGTTTTCTTTCCAGAATTCCCCAGGTTTGACAAAGAACAGAACTGTCTTCTCTGTTTCAGAGCCATGGTCCTCACCGTTGTCCTTAACGGACACTCGCCGGGCCCAGACTCTGAGCCACCCACCAAGCTGGTCCCAGAGGAGCTGCCCAGCTCCCCCAGAAACCTGGGATCGGGGCAGGATCAGAAACTGAGCTGAAGGGCTCGGGCAGGTCACTGCCCATTTCTGAGACTCAGTTTCCCCACTGGTAGAACGGGATTGCGGGCAGATCACACGGATGTTTTACAGACGAAGGCTCAAAGTTGAGGCGGTAGCTGTTTAAGTTGGTCATCTTTCTTCTAGACAGGCTCTTGGCACAGAATGGCCCTATGTGTCTAGCAGGGGAGGGGACCAGGGACACGTGCCTCAGACACCCAGGGGCATGACTCCCCTTTGCTGCCCCACTTCTCCCCCCGGGCCCCAGCTGGAGACCCCCAAGGCCCCCCAGCTGCCCTCTGGGCCTGTGGCCCACCTGTCCCGGGAAAGCCGAGCCACGGGGCCTAAGCTCATCGTCCGTCTTCCATCTGCCTGGTGTGGTGCTCTGTCCCCAGGTGGTGGGCGAGTGGAAGTTCAGCAGGATTCACTGTGACATCTTTGTCACTCTGGACGTCATGATGTGCACGGCGAGCATCCTGAACCTGTGCGCCATCAGCATCGACAGGTGAGCCAGGGTGGCAGAGGGGATCCCGGGCCGCTGACCTTCCGGCCTGCAGACACGAGCTGTGTGCCCGGGAGTCCACATGTGTGTGCGTGCATGGGTGTGCACGTGCATACATGCACAGGTGTGTAGGTGCACGTGGGTCTGGCTGGGAGAGCCCAGACCACCTCACGAGAGGCCACCTTCCAGATGGAGATGTCACCAAGGATACCCAGACAGTGCCTGAGAAGAGGAGAAAGCTCCCAGTGCTCACGGCAGCCCTAGGTCTACCGCGTCCTGCCTAAGTAGCCTGGGGCAGAGTGTGTACCTTCTCAGAACCCTACCCTGTCTAGAAATCAAGGGTGATGACGCCTGTCCAGGTGGGGCCAGTGTCTGGTTGTGCATCTCTTGTCCAGAGCAGGGCAGGCCCGTGGCCAAGGGGGCCCAGGCTATGCTCACTTTGCTAAACTCTACCCTTGGAGCCATTCACTGATTTGCACACGCAGGCCACGTGGGCCCCCCCGGCAGGATTCTTGAAAGATGAAGTGAGTTACTATATGAGAAGTGCCGGGTCGAGGAATCGAGTGACTATGAGCAGTTGCCACCGTTGTTATTTTCTGCCGAGTGGGGCTGGCTGAGCCCTCGCTCTGAGGGGCCTGGAACAAACACTTCCAGCTTCTGTGAGCCCGGCATGGGTGCAGTTTCAAAGGTGCAAAAACCCAGACCGTGGGCCCTCAAAAACCTTAAAATCCAAGTAGGGAGACTGGAGTAATAGAAATGGGCCAGGACTGCCTGGTAGCCGGTCAGGTAAAGTGTCACCAGCTACCCTTGCTGTCTGAGCTGGGGCAGGAGAAAGGAGTGCCGTAGGGTAGACAGGCAGGCTTCGGGGAGGTGACAGCTGGCACTCTCTAAGGTACGGGGTGTCTCTAGGGTATGCCTGCTGCGGAATGAGGGGTCCCTGGGCCTGGGCACCCCAGACTCAGGGCCCCCTGTCCCGTGACCCTGCAGGTACACAGCCGTGGCCATGCCCATGCTCTACAACACCCGCTACAGCTCCAAGCGCCGAGTCACTGTCATGATCGCCATCGTCTGGGTCCTGTCTTTTACCATCTCCTGTCCGCTGCTTTTCGGACTCAACAACACAGGTGAGTCCTGCCTCTGTCTGCCTGGGGCTCCGCCGGCCCCCTTCCCTGCACGGGACCCCGAGGGAGCTGAGCCGCTGGATGCAGGCTTAGGGGGAGGACTTGTTCGCCAGCCTAGGCTGAGGCCAGGCTGGGTCTCCCCGGCCCAGCCTGACCCTCATTTGTACCTGGAGGGGCCAGAGAGGAACAGTAGCTCAGGGCACTATGGGGTTGGGTGAGGAGTGGGGGGCGTGGGGGGAATGATTAGGGAGGATGTCTGGCCATTTTCAGCTTTGCTTATTCAACCGAAGCAGGCCAGACAGGCTCACCAACTGCATGTGTTTTTTGTGTGTGTGTGCACACTCATGTGCCCACATGAGGGGTGACGATGGGGCCCCATCCCCACCCCGTGGTGATGCTGTTTGTGGTAATGAGGCTGCAGCCCAAGCTGGCCAAGCCCAGCACAGACCTGACTCCCCTGGAGGAGGAGAGGTGGAAATAGGTAGAGGCTAGCCCACCGTGCCTGTCCTGTGCGTCTGAGGTAGAGGAAGGAGATGTGGGCCTGCCTGCCTGCCGGCGTGGGCGTAGAACTTTCTCTCATCAGGGAGGCTCCAGTGAGGCGGGCGCACCTCTGGAGACCCTTGCGGGGCAAGACACCAAGAAGCCTTGCAATGCACTTCTTGTGGGCATTCCTAGAAGCAGGGAGTAGGTCATGGTCTGAGCAGCTGCTCAGAGCAGTCTGGAAAGGCCCTGAGATACCGGACAGACACCTGCTAGGCCAGGAAGGGAACTTGAAAACACATCGGGACATAGGTGAGTTGGGCAAACAGGACCAAGTCCCCTTGTCCTAAGGCTGAAAGGTGGTAGACCTCCCCCACGTATACAGGAGGGGTTGACATAAGGGTTTACGCTTTGACAATAGTTTTCTTCCGTTATTTTTCCCAAGCACACTGGCTCCGCTTGTGTGGTCACGGAAATTAAACTAGTACTGAAATGAGGAGGGAACGTTAACGGGGAAGCTCGGAAGCAGTTCATGAGGGCCTAGCTTTTTGCTCACGGTTGTGATTTGAAATCTCTGGCTTACGGCGTGTGTTCATCTACGTCTAGCACTTCCGGGCGGCCTTGGACACCCGGTCCTCTGTGACCTCGCTGCTTGGGTCCAGCAGAGGAGGGAAGGGTGTCTCGTGGCGCTGTGGCCCCGTGGGCCGCTGACGCCCCCTCCGTGCTCTCCTCACCCCCCACAGACCAGAATGAGTGCATAATCGCCAACCCCGCGTTCGTGGTGTATTCTTCCATCGTCTCCTTCTACGTGCCCTTCATCGTCACCCTGCTGGTCTACATCAAGATCTACATCGTCCTCCGCAGGCGCCGCAAGCGGGTCAACACCAAGCGCAGCAGCCGGGCTTTTAGGGCCAACCTGAAGGCCCCACTCAAGGTCCCCAGAAACCCCCTCCCCTCCAGTGCCCACACCTCACCATTAGCAGGGGGGCTTGCCTGTGCGCAGGCGGGGGCCCAGGGCAGCGCAGCAGGGTGGGGTCTAGGCTGGAGGGCGCTCCACGGACCCAGGCAGGGCACAGCCCCAAGGCTTGGACCTCCGTGGAGTGACCAGATCTCCAGGAGGCGGATGGAGGAGGGGCGGGCGGCGGACACGCTCTGGGAGAAGTCTGCTCGGAGATCTTCGAACGCACCGTGTCCTCTCCTTCCTCTCCCGTCGCTCGTCCTTCCTCGCCGCGGCCCCTCACTCGGCCTTTCCTCCCTCTGCGCTTCCCTCCCCCCTCTTTACCTTTCGTGCTCCCCGTGCTCCCGTCTGTGCACACCTCCTCCTTCCCCGCCATTCCCTCCTCCTCTCCTCTACCTTGCTTCCATTCCCTCCCCCTTATGTCTTGTGAATTCTCCCCTCTGCTCAGCCCTCCCTGTTGGGAAGACAGTATGTGGGCCTGGAAGGAACTAAGAGTCTGGGGTTAGACACATCAGGTTCAAGGCCTGGCACTGCCACGTTTTTTTGCTGAGTGACCTTGGGCAAGTTGCTTAACTTCTCTGAGCCTCGGTTTCCTCATCTGTTAAATGGGAATCATAATGCCAACCTCTCGGCGTGGTTTTGAGGATTCAGTGTGAGAGGGGTTTATCTCGCATGTGCCAGACCCTTCACAGATACCCCATAAAAGTCACGGCCTGTTCGTCCCTCATCCTGCCCACGTTCTCTCCTCACAGGACCAACCTTCACTCTCCCCTCCTCAGGCCCCCCCCTCCTCTGCCCTGCTCTGAGCCCCTGTGCCCAGCCTGAGCAGCCCACACTGGGGGTCTGTCCCCAGCCGCCTGCCCGTCATGACCAGTGTACTGGCTCACTCCACAGGGCACCTGCACTCACCCCGAGGACATGAAACTCTGCACCGTTATCATCAAGTCCAATGGGAGGTTCCCAGTGAACAGAAGGAGAGTGGTAAGTGCTCAGGTCAGGGACCCAGGGCCGGGCCCTTCCGCCCCTCGGGAACCCAGCTGCCGTGATTCGCAGACACCTCAGCGGCAGAGCACCTCCCAGGCTCCCCCACGGCCCCCGGGGCCAGATGCACCAGGCACACCTCACGGGCAGGCAGGCAGCGAGCCGGCCCGATTCCACAAGGCACACATAGGTGCCCCTAGCGTGAGAAAATGGTTGGGAGAGAGGACTTGGCCGTAATAACATAATGCACATCAGAAGAATGGCTATTACCATTCACTGAACACCCACCGTGTTTCTACTATCTCATCAAATCCTCACAGTGACCCTGAGAGGTAAGTCTTATTGAGCTTATTGACTTTAATGTTACAGAAGAGGAAACAGAGGCTCAGAGAGGGTAGGTAGCTCACCCGAGGCGAAACAGGGGGAAAGTGCATGTTTGAGAGCCCAAACCCTTGTGACTCCGAGGTCCACACCTCTGCTGTTCTTTCCCACTCGCATGTGCTTCCTTACTACAGGCAGGTCCTGGGGCTGGAGGCTGGGCGTGGAGGGGTGAGTAGGGCGGGGGGTGGGGAGCAGAGCAGCCTTGGGACTGTGGGGCAGTGCAGCGCGTAAGTAGAGCTTGGACATGCGGAACCACGGCCGACCCAGGCTCTGCCCAGAGGAAGTAGTAGCAGGGTCCCAGCGGCAGGTGCCGCCCCCCGAGCTGGGCCAGGACACCCACCCAGGGGTGCACGTGAAGTCCAGGTCAGGTGTCCGCAGGGAGAGGGCCTCCACCGTTCCCTTGAACAGTAAGGGCAGGACTCCAGGGAGTCCTTCATGAGATGGGTGACATCGAGTCCCAGTCTCAGGACTGGGACTGGGGCGGCCGCAGAGTCCTATCACCCAGGTGCACGGCGAGGCTGCATTTCAGAAGTTCAAGCTGAAACCCCAAGGTCCGGGGGACCTGAGAGGCAGTGAGTGGATCCCCACCAGGGCCTCCAGATCAGCTTGGCAGGAAGGATTGGGGGTTGGGAGGCTGGGGTTAGCCTTTTGGCACCCGGATCGGTCTACGAGGAGAATGTGGGGGGGTGTCTCAGGTCAGCCTGGCGGCCCCTTGATTCAGCCAGGCAGGAAGAACAGAGGTGCCCGCTATGCAGTTAGAACATGAGCTCCTGTGGCAGGCCCTGAACGCCAAACCAGTATTCCCAGCAGCCAGCTGGGTGCCCGGTGCTCACTGGTGCTCAGTAAGTGGTGCTGAGTTCATAAGAGAAGTGCTGGGCTAGTAAGCCCCCACGGATGGTTGTGGGGTTATTGAGGCCGCATCAGGATTGCTCTGGGAGGAGGGCTGGGGATGACCCTGTAGCCAGGGACCGCCGTGGGTCTGGCCCCGGCCCGGACCGTCCCGACCGCCGGAGGACCGGCCTGGCTTTACCCGGAGTTCTCTGCCTCTGTGCAGGAGGCTGCCCGCCGAGCGCAGGAGCTAGAGATGGAGATGCTGTCCAGCACCAGCCCTCCCGAGAGGACCCGGTACAGCCCCATACCGCCCAGCCACCACCAGCTGACCCTCCCCGACCCGTCCCACCACGGCCTCCACAGCACGGCCGACAGCCCCGCCAAACCAGAGAAGAATGGGCATGCCAAAGACCACCCCAAGATTGCCAAGATCTTTGAGATCCAGTCCATGCCCAACGGCAAAACCCGGACCTCTCTGAAGACCATGAGCCGCAGGAAGCTCTCCCAGCAGAAGGAGAAGAAAGCCACCCAGATGCTCGCCATTGTTCTCGGTGAGTCAGGCTGGCCGGTGGCCGCGCCATCGCCAAGGAAAGGACCCATCGCCGGGGACCCGCCCACCAAGATGGGTCCTGTTACCTGCCATCCGCTTCCTAACCATGGCTGGTGGGCCAGGGAACCGGCACTTTCTCAGGTGTGGGCCACTCCCACTGATCTACACATTAGGTAGATTCTATAATTATGTTCCTTTTACACATGGGAAAACTGAGGTCTGGACTGGGTATATGACGTGCCCAAGGAAGACCTATGATTTAAACTCAGGGAGTCTGACTTCAGAGTCTGTGAGCTTGTCCAGCTTACCAGCGTGACCCCCAGAGCATCATGACCCCAGGCCACCCCCCCCCCCCCCCCCCCGCCTCTGGAGTCCCCTCAGCAGGAGATTGCCCCTCGAGGCTGTTGTGCTGAACGGTACACAGAGGTGAAAGCGTTTTGGAAAGTGCAAAGCAGTGTGAGAAGTGCACACAGGAATGTGTCCTCAGCATGGTTTGGGTGTCCTGCTATTGTCAACGAATTGGGAATTCAGGTCACTTCAGCTCAACCGAGACCCGTGGGACCAGAGCTGGGGCTGGAGCGGGGAGCCATGTGAATGAGGGCGTGGCTCAGCCAGCCAGGCACGGCTTTCAGATAAAAGTCTCCTAGAAAACCCCAGGGGGCGAGTCCAGACCCAAGGCTGGACGCGATGTGACGTGGCCGGCTGGGAACGGGAGGGGCCAATGTGACTGTGCCTTCCCCGCCGCACCCAGGGTCCCAGGCCACCCTTCCAGGCCCACCATCCCCTCTGGCCTCCAGCCAGGCCTGCGGTGTGAGCCAGCCGGCGTTACTACCCTGCCATTACGAAGGCACGCACAGGGTCACCGCAGGTTAAGGGGCAGAGCCTTGACCACGCGGCTGGGGGTGACAGAGGAGGGCTGGAGCTAGCCCCCTGCTCCAGTCCGTGGGGTCTCTCTGAAGTCCTGGGGACTCCTGGGGTGCTTGTAGAACATTCTGGGCTCATGATGCTACCATGCCGAGAGCCCCGCCAAAACAGGCCTTGAGTCAGATGGACAAGGCAGGTGGGCGGGAGGTTGGTCTAGGTCAGAGGGTCCCAAAGCAGGAATTAGGAAGGGGTATCCCCTAGAGGCTGGGGAAGGCATAGCGAGAGCCTGGCCCCTGGGGGGGGGGGGGCGGATCCTCAATAGACTGGAATTCAGCAAGTCTTGGCTTCGCCCCTCCTGAGCGAGGTGGCCTTGTGTATATCACAGAGCCTGTGGGAGCCTCAGTTCCCCATCTACCCCACAGGGATGCCAGGAGCCTAAGCGAGATGGGTGTCTAACTGTCCCTTTGTCCCTCGGCCCCAAACAATGCATCCCCACCCTGCAGTGACCAAATGTTCCACTTCTGTCTGCTGAGGAAGCCGTGGTGCTCAGAGGTGACCAGAAAGCAGAGTACACATCTCCATCTCTCCTGACTTGTGTCAGAATGTTAACCCCCGTGGATTTGTTTTCAAGCCCACTATCCTTCCTGTGGGGTAGGGGTTATTACACCCATTTGACAGGTGAGGAAAATGAGGCTGAGGGAAGGAAAGTGACCTTCACTGCAAACGGGTGTCAGAGACAGCTCTAGAATCTGAGGCTGAGACTCTTTCTGCAGTGCTCCCGGGCCGGGGTCTGCCCGCGTGGGGGCCTTCCCAGCCCAGCCTCGCCCTGCCTGACCCCGCCTCCCTCTCCCCCAGGCGTGTTCATCATCTGCTGGCTGCCCTTCTTCATCACCCACATCCTGAATATACACTGTGATTGCAACATCCCGCCCGTCCTGTACAGCGCCTTCACGTGGCTGGGCTATGTCAACAGCGCCGTGAACCCCATCATCTACACGACCTTCAACATCGAGTTCCGCAAGGCCTTCATGAAGATCCTGCATTGCTGACCCGCTCCCCGCCTCCCTGCCCGGGCCGGCCGGGTCTGCGTTCCTGGGAGCCGCGGATGGGGGTGACGCAGGGCGGACTCGGCCTTCTCTTCGTCCCCAGCAGGCCCTGCAGTGCTAGCTTGACGCCACGGTGCCAGCCCGAGGGCTGGGCCTCCGGCTCGGGGTGGCTCACAGAGCCCCTCCCGCTCTAGACCCTCTCCCCTTGGCACCAAAGACGCAGCCGCCTTCTCTGACGTTTCTCTGGGGCTCTGGGGGCGCCAGGGCGAGAGGCAGGGCTCAGAGGCTGTGCTTTCTGTGGGGTTTGGCCTGGTCTTTGCAGGCCTGGGCTGGAGCGGGCCATGGGGACGGATGGCAGTTCACACCCCACGGGGCCCCTGCCCGGAAGCCGAACTCTAGCCACGGCCCCAGGCCACTTCAGTCCTGGGGGACCCTTGTAAATACCAGACCACAGGGTGAGCCCCAGAGAAGCCCAAGCCAAAAATCTTCTCTCAGTCCCTCTCCTGCCCAACGACAGGAGCCTCTATTTCCACAGCAGGGGTCCCACCCGGCCCCACCCCGCCTCCAGCCAACCATGTGATTGCCACACCGCTGAGGGCAGCACCCCTGGGCTTGAAGGGCCCCAGGAAGGTGTGCGGGGAGAGGAAGCCCAGGCTGCTGCATCCCGACGGACTCGGTGCATCCCTTCTACAGCAACTGCTAGGCCAACCTGCGGGCGGGCAGGGAAGGCGGGCTTGTGTCTGCATCGGGGGCCTGGGGCGGGGTGTTGGAGGTTCTCGGGGGAGGGGGGGCTGCCTCCTGCCACACTCTGCCGCCACACCACTCCCCTTTACCTCTAGACTCTTCTCTCTCCCGCCCCCTCTCCTTTCCGCTGTCTCCGCCTCAGAGGAGCCCGAGGCGCAGGGGCTGCTGGGTGCCACCTGGCCTGGGCTGGCCCTGCCCTGAGCGGGGAGGGAGGCTGCAGCTTGGCGGGGGTCCCTGGGCCCCAGACTCTGTAACATCACTACACATGCTCCAAACTAATAAAACTTTGACGAGAGTCATCCGCGAGGCCCCTTGGGCGGAAGGGACCAGCACCAAACTTCGTCTTGCTGGGATCAGAGTGGGGGGAGCCTTCCGCAGCCCCCTCCCGGAAACAGGTGGCCCTGACCACAGCCCCCGGGGGGACGACGGGGGGGGGGAGCTCCTCCAAGAGGACCGAGGAGAGGATGTGTGTGCCCGCGTTTCCCCCACCCCGTCCCTTCTCGCCCAGGAGCCTGGGACGCTCTCAGCCCCGCTCCTCGCCGGCCCCGAGCCTCAACTGCCAACCAAGATCGGACAGGGGAGTGTTCCCAGTGGGGATCCCCGATCCCTCTGGTAGGAAGGCCGGCTTGTCTCCGCTTCCCACCTCCTCCTCTCCAGGTCCCGGCCCCTCCGAAGCACCTCAGCTCTCGGGACCCACCACGGCAGAGAAGGCTCCGAGGAAAAGGAGCCCTTCGAGGGGCCGGCTGCGTCGGAGTCTGTGTCAGCCCCTGGCCCTGACTTCTGGCTCGCGTCAGGACCCCCTTCCTCTGCGGCAGGTCGGGGAGGCAGGGACGCCCTGCGTGACACGGCCCAGGTGGAACCCCCTCCTCTTGGCCTCCAGCCCAGTCGCAGCTCCAAATTTGTGGAGCCACAAGTTGGCACTGCCCTGAAAGCAGAAATCTGGCTTTAAGAAATGAAGTGAAATAATAAATCGACCTGGTAAGAGAGGAATATTCTTACTACCGTGAGAATAACAGCGATGATGACAAACAGGGTGCTGGCACCCACGAGCTCAGGCTCTGGGGAGCTGTCAGGGCATAATTTGCATGCTAAATACAATATTTTTAGCACCAAACTTTGGAGCACTTAACTTGCCCTGAACACTTAATTATGGACTTTGATCTTCTCCCTGAACCTGCTAAGCCCCAGGAGAGGCTTCTGTCCCCAGGAGCAGCCGGGGCCTGGAAGCTGGGCAAAACGGGCCCCTAGTCCAGCTCAGAGGGTGTCAGGAACCCAGTGACCACCTCCTGGGGAAGGCGTCAGACCCTCAGTGGGGTGAGAGACCCCAGAAACGTCTCTGCCGCTGATGCACACACAGGTGTGCACAGACACACCACACACACTCGGCCTGTGCAAGACCTTGCCCTGGATGATCTCAAAAGCTTAAAAGCTCATCTCATCTTTAGGAACCTGATAAGGTCATGCAGGTTTCTCAGCTGTGGGAATTGGAAGAGATGACACAGAGCGGAGAGAGTAAAAGAGAGGAAGGAAGGAGGGAGGGAGGGAGGGATAGAGGAAGGAAGGGAGGGAGGGAAGGAAGGAAGGAGGGAAGGAAGGGGGAGGAAGGGGGAGGGGAGGGGGAGGAAGGGAGGGAGAAGTGGGGAGGGATGGAGGAAAGAGGGAGGGAGGGATGAGGGAGGGAAGGAAGGAGGGAGGGAGGGAGGAAGGGGGGAGGGAGGGAGGGAGGAAGGGGAGAGGAAGGGAGGGAGGAAGGGGGGAGGAAGGGAGGGAGGGAGCCCAGCCCCCAGCAGCCTGGGAAGGGTGTCATGGCGGCGGAGGGCAACAGGGCAGGCAGGGGCGGGGGGTGGGGCGGGGAAAGTTGCCCACAGCTGTCAGAAGCTTCAAGTCTTTCTTCCAGACAGCAGATTGACAGCTGGAGTGGGCAGGGGGAGGGCCGGCTCCGCCCCCTCCCCCCTCAGCTCTCCCGGGACAGAGGAATGGGCGTGGGGGGGTACCCGAGAGAACTCGAACTCGAACTCGAGGTGGAAGGGGGCGGCCAGGCTCTGCTCCCCTCCCAGGAGGCCCTGACTGCCGCCGCAGCGCTCTGATTCTTCTCCTCTCCTTCCCTGGGCTTCTGTCTCTGTGCCTGTCTTTCTCCAAAGCATGGCTTTCAACCAAAGGGTCGTTTGTCTGCCTTTACAGCAGGTGGGGTCTGACAGCCCCCACCCCCAGCACCGGGTCAGGCACAGCCGGGCGCTTTGCATATGTGTCCCATCAGATGTCCCTATGTGACTGCAAGTCTTCAAAGCTTCAGACACCCCCCCTTACTCTCCCCTAGTGGGTTCCGGAAGAGTCCCGGACGACCCCCGGCTGGGGAGATGTCCTGGAAACTGGGAGGCCAGTAGTGCAAGAGAAACCAGCCCGTGCGACCTCCCGGATCTTTCTCGACAACCACTGTGCTCGGGGCCCTGAGCGAGGGGCTAGGTGTGCAGCAGGAGAAAGGTGGATGTGACCCCTGTCCGTGTCCCGCAAGTGTGAGTCTGAGGCCCACAGTCACACAACAGCGGTCAGAGCTGCGCGTCGCCCACGACAGAGCCCTGGCCGGGTGTGGAGACACGGGTCCCGTAGATGACAATGACGTGGGGCGCAGCATCCCTGGTGAGGGCAGGAAGACTGAGGGCACGGAGCCCTGCCTGAATGGCGGGGCGGGAGGCCCTCAAAAGAAGTGACTGCCTGTCCTGTGTCCCCGGTGGGCTCAGCACAGGGGCAGGTGGTCATCTGCAATCAGGGACGCTGACGACCAGCCTGCCTTGGGGGCAGTGTGTCCATCCTCTGCCCGGGACCCCTCCCCACAGCATCCATCCCAGGAGCCGCCTGGCCCAGCCCGTGCCCCACTGCCTCCCTGCCCTCCTGGGTCCCAGGACCCAGGCTACGTCTGTGGCCACGAGCCCCCATCCCATGCAGGGGCCATGTGATCCAGTCCTCCATGTAGCCCTGGGCACCCATCCGGGGGACCCCATTAGGCCGCCTCGCTTTCGAGAGACTGACTGCCTAGATGACAGGCTGGCCTTTGAATCCAGGGCTCCAAGCCTCCGTCTCACCCTGTCCATTCGGCCCGTTTCCCCACCAGCACCGAGCAAAGCTTCAGGAGGCTCGAGTGGTGCGACGATTTGTAAAAAGGTGGGGAGAGAGGGAGAGAAAAAGCATCTGGGCCCCGGTCTTTTAGGAGCTTGTCCTCTGGTGCCTGTGGACTGCCTGGTAGCCATTTGGGCTGCAGAGCTATTTTATTTTTATTTTTATTTACTTCTTAAAATCTTTGTTTTTTTAAATGTGTATTTATTTATTTTGAGGGAGGGAGAGAATCCCCACGCTCAGCCCAGAACCCAGCATGCGGCTCAGTCTCATGACGGTGAGATCATGACCTGAGCTGGAATCAAGAGTCAGACGCTTAACCGACTGAGCCCCCCAGGTGCCCCAGGCGAGTTGCTTTTAGAGGGGCTGCAGGTCAGCGTCTGCTCATGCATGTGCCCGAGTCTCCTCTGAGCCAACCCGGTGCCCCCGGCCTTCATTCTGGGGAGTCTGGGAGAGCGAGAAGCTGGCAGGGACAGGGCAGACCATCTCTGGAAGGGGGGGCTCCCACCTCGGCGTTGGGGGGCTAAAGCGGTGCAGGGAGAAGAAGGTACCTGGGAAGGACAGCTTCCCACCTCTCTCCCACCCTAGCTCTGCTACTTGTTGAATGAAGCAGGGTGGGCGCTGCTGGGCTGAAGCCCCACCTGGTGGCATTCGGAGAGGCCTTTCACTCCTGGTTGGTGCTAAGGCAGCTCCAGATCCACAGGAAGTGCCACACGGCCACTGTGCCACTTGCCTCCACCCCGGACTTCTGTCCCAGGACCCGGAGCCTCCCTGCTGCCTCGGGCAGAGATGCGGCAGGTGAATGAGGGATGGAGGTCAGGCGAGGAGGGAGGTGGTACCACTCCGGGCATGGGCAGCTAAGGTCCAGCATGCTCTGCCCCGCATTGTCCTGAGCGGGCCCAGCAACAAACACGGTCTTCTTGGCCCCAGGAGAGCTTTTGAATGCACAGTTCATTGTGATCTTATTCTTCTGCTCAGAAAGGGACAGCAGCTCCCAGCTGCCCCAAGGTCCAAGCTCCAGAATCAGGGTGGGCATCAGAGTCTCCCCACCCTGTCTGCTCGTGGGCTGTCTGCACCCCTGGCTCGCTTGCTCGGTCACATTCCCCAGCCTCTGGGACCCCTGGCTCCTTCCACCTCGTCCAGGCCCTACCCCATCTCTGCTGGGTCCTTCTACATACATGCCTTCCGGAAACCCCTTCTTGACTGACCCACTCAGCTTGGGAACTGACTGGATGACGGACAGAGCCAGATTATAGACTGTGTTGTCCACTAGTCACGTGTGGGGCTACTTAAGTTTATTGAAATCAAACATTTGGTCCCCTGGCTGCACTGGCCACATTTCAACACTCGGTAGCACAGTGTGTGTGTGTGTGTGTGTGTGTGTGTGTGTGTGTGTGTGTGTGTGTGTGTGTGTATGTGTGTGGTGGGGCAGGAGCTATCCTACCGACTGGTTGCAGATACAGGTTTCCAGCCTCCCGGATGCGCTGGTCTAGAAGGACTCCCAGGGCACCTTTAACCCTAACATGGGGAGAGAGAGAGATGAATGGACTCGTGAAGGGGAGGGAATGTCTACTTTGGGGCTTTAAGGGGTCTGTAAGGACCTCCACAGAGATGCCCAGGAACTAGGGACTTCCAGTCCTCGGCCACCCCCCAAACTCCCCTAAACAGGACTTGAAATCCAACTGGAGATGCTCTCCTTGGGAATTTCAAGGGCCTCACTAAAACCCAATTCTAGACATCCCACAGAAACTTCTAGAAGGCAGCCATGTGGCAGTGGGACCCACCGTAGACACTGTGTGATGTGTCTGGCTTGGGTTGACTTGAAAAGCGAGCAGGTGCTAATAGGCAACGTGAGGGCTGCTGGCCAGAGCTGGCCTGAACCCGCCACCTCCGTTAACTCCTGGAGGAAGGGAGGAGAGCAAGCCGGGGTCTGTGAATCTCAGCCTGGACCCCGGGACCATGAGGTTGGTGAGACGGCATGACTCCCAGGGCTGGTCCTGACCGCATGTCCACAGGATCCCTGCCGTTATAGGACAGCGGGTGCAAAGGCGTCACTTATCTGTTCTAACTCCTTTCTTCGACGTCTTTCAAGTTCTGTCCAACAGGTGAGCCCCGACTCTGCTGGGCCCTGTGCCTCACTCCCGGCCATTCCCAGGCAGCGATCTGAGCGCACCTGGTTTTGAACAGGTAGCCCCACCCCCCTTCTCTGGCTCCTGCAGAATCCCAGCGTGGGAGCCACACAGACCTCGGTGCACAAGGAAGGCAAACAGCATAGAGCCCTCTCCCCTTCCCCCTTCCTGCTCTGGCCTGTTCTGGGAAAGAGAACTCCCAGGGGGCACGAAGCTACAAGTCTTGCCTAAGGCTCAGCCTCCAGAAGAACAAGAATGGACGGGGCAGCCGAGCAGGGAGTAGGAAGACGAAGCAGCCTTCCGAGTGATGCCTCCCGTAGTCCTCAGGGGCCCCCACTCCACCGAGTCCAGAAAAGCCCACCGCCCCACCACCAGGGGGCTGCCTGCGGGTTACTGGGCACAGGGAGAAATGAGACGCCCCCTGGTGGTTGTTCTCAGCCCTGGCTGCTCTCCAGCGTAACCCAGGAGATTTCTTGTTTAACCGGCCAAGGGTAGGGCCCGTGTTTAAATCGCCCTCCCACCCCCACACACTGCACCCAGGAGGTTCTCACGAGTAGGCTTGATGTATAGCTACTGGTCCGGGGCACATCCCGGCTCCGTGGTACTCCCAGGGCTCTCCGCGGCAGCCGTAGGCTGGGACGTGATGGGGTGAAGCATCTAGGGCCCAGGACGTGGGCGTCACAGCCCAGAGGCACAGCACTGCCAGCCTGTATGTGGGTAAGAGGTCTCCTCTGCTCTGCCTCTCCCCCTGCGCTGACAGGGGGCTGCTGACTGGTGGCTCCACAAGACCACCCACAGAGGAGGCCTGCCCAGGGGCTGGGGGTTGGGGCCGGCCAGCGGTTGGGGCAGAAGATTCCTTAAGTCAAATTTGGAGGGGCTGATTCAGCAGCGTGGAGAGGTGGAGAGGAGCAGGACACGACCTCAGGGCACCCGTTCTTCCCCACTCAAATCCCCCCACCTCCCGGAGGTCGGCCATTCCTGGCAGAGCCAGAGAGAAAGCAGAGGCTGGGCCCGGTCAACACAAGGGTGTTGTGAGCAGCCCCAGCTCTGCCCCGACCTGCCCCACAACTGTAGGGCGGCCAGGCCAGCACACGGGCAGCCAGGGTGTGGGCACAGGGGACGGCTGTCTGAGCCTGAGCCGCTGCGGCTGGGAGGGAAGTCCCTGCCCCGATAACCCACCCCTCACCGTCACCACCTCCTCCAACTCCACACTTCTGCCCCCGGCCTTCCCCCATTGGGTCGACTCACACCACACCCCACATCCCATACTCATACTATTGGCTCCCCGGGCAGCCCCTCTCCAAAGGGGAGACTCAGATCCACAGTTGTATGGACTTGAGGGTTTGAAACCTGGTCCTATAAGTAGACAGGAACGAAGGGGAAGCAGAGGAGGCTGGGGACCCCCAGAGGATCACTGGGGCTGAGACCACGTGGGAGCGACCCAGGCGCCGGAACCAGGGCCACCAGGAAGGTGTGGTCTGTGTGGCAACAGGGCTGGCTGGGGCGTTACAGAGTAGGCTGAAACTTCCTCCCAACTTTTAGCTGCGGCCCCTTTCGAAAAGCACGTGCCTGACTGTCCTGGCCTTGCTGGAGATACAGGCCAAGTACACAGATTCTAGCCAGGAGGGAGCATGTCCCTCTTCTCCGTGCATCCCTTCGCCGTCAGAGAGGGTTCCGGGGACGCAGGGGCCCCTGGGAGCTCAGGGGCAAGTGGCGCAAGGTGGCAGGAGTCTGGGGAAGGAAGAGGGAACTCACTCCGGGGGCTTGAGTCCAGGTTCGGGAGGGGGAACAGGAGGCCGGGGCCCCACCCCCGGCTGCGACCTCAGTGTACCTCCTTTCCCTCTGGGGGGACACCAGGCTCCTCCTGTGTCCTCTCAAGGCCTCGGGAGCAGGTGGCAAGCACAGGGAAGGGACCATGCCAGAAGGCCAGCTTCGCCTCCACTGACCCCTCTTCTCACGGGTGAGGAGGCCCCGGGTTGCCTACATTCTCGCCTGGGCTCCAGGCTCAGCACCGCCCAGAACGGCCAGTGGGGGCTCCTTGCCCTCCAGGAAGGCAGCGATGTTCTGCTTTTGGTTCCGGAGGGCCAGCTGCAGGGGTGTGCAGCCCACCCCGTCCCGGACGTCCAGCTGGGCGCCGGCTTTGACCAGCACTTTGAGGATGGCCGTGTTGCCCTTGAGGGCGGCCAGGTGGGCGGGGGTCCAGCCCACCTTGTTGCGGGCGTGGACGTCGGCGTGGTGCTCCAGGAGGTGGATGATGCTCAGGAAGGCACCCCGATGGACGGCCAGGTGCAGGGGCGTCCAGCCCGACTGCTCGGTGGCGTTGGGGTCGGCCCCACACCGCAGCAGCTCCGACACCACCACCTCCTCCCCGTGGCGGGCAGCCAGGTGCAGGGGCGTCCACTTCATGTCCCCAGGAGCCCCCAGGTCTGCGTGGCTCTCCGCCAGCAGGTGGATGACCTCCAAGTGGCCTTTGTAGGCTGCGAGATGGAGCGGTGTCCAGCCCTGCCGCGTGGGCAGCTGGAGGCTGGCCCCGTACCTGAGGAGCATCTTGCAGATAAGGTACTTCCCCCTGGCGGCCGCCAGGTGCAGTGGGCTGTAGCCGCTCCGGTCAAGGGCATCAGGGGCCGCCCCGCTCTTCAGCAGGTGCTGGATGGCCCTCACTTTGCCTCGCTCCACGGCCAGGTGCAGCGGCGTCCTCAGGTTCCGCTGCCGTGCGTCCAGCTCGGCCCCCTGGCCCGCCAGCAGCTTGACCAGGCTGACGTGGCCGAAGTGGGCGGCCACGTGGAGAGCGGTCTTGCCCTCGGCCTCGTGCAGGTTGGGGTCGGCCTGGCGGGAGACCAGCAGCCGCGCCACGTTCTCAAAGTTGTTCTGCGCCGCCAGGTGCAGCGGGGTCCAGCCCTCATGCTCCTGGGCGTCCACGCGGGCGCCGTGGTCCAGGAGCAGGCGGGCGGTGCGGTCGTCTCCGTTCTGGGCCGCGAAGTGCAGCGGGGCCCAGCCGTCTTCGTCGGCCAGGTTGGCGTCGGCCCCGTGGTCCAGGAGCAGGGCGCAGAGCTCGGGCTGCCGGTCCTGGGTGGCGATGAGGAGCGGCGTGTAGCCGCAGGCCGTCTGGCAGTCCACGTCGACCTCGTGGGCCAGCAGCAGCCTCACCCGCTCCACGCTGCCCTGCACCACCAGGAAGTGGAGGGGAGAGACTTTGTTCTCGGATGTGCAGGGCTCCTCGCCGCTGGGGACGGGGTCCTCGCCGTCCGAGAGCTGCAGGACCCGCTCCGGGTAGCCTCCAGAGTCTGCCGGGAGGAAGAGGGGCTGCAAAACGGACCTCCGACCCGGGCGGAGCACAGAGACTCCGGGAGGGAGGGAGGAGGGCAGTCTTTCCTGCTCTCACAGATCCCTACACGGCCTCCGGCGGCCTAGAGAACAGGCTCTGGGCCGGCCTTCCTGTGAGGACGGGGCAGAGAGAGGCCTGGGCACAGACCCCGGGTCCACCCTTAGCATCCCCTGACTTTTGCCAATTCCCTGCCACCTTGGGCCTCCAGATCCCGATCCCTAAAGGGGACCCAAAGTGCCATTGTGGGGACAGTGCGGGGGTGGGTAAGAACTTCCAGAGGAGGGCTTGGCACAAAGCAAGTCAGTGCAAGTCGAAAACAGGCTCTGTGACCTCAACTCCTGCTGAAGCCACTATGGCTTCCTCCTGCTCTACCCAGAGCGTATTGGGATTAAAAGCAACAATTTCGGGGGCGCCCGGGGGGCTCAGTCGGTTAAGCATCCGACTCTTGATTTCAGCTCACGTCATGATCGCACAGTCCGTGGGATCGAGCCCCGAGTGGGGCTGTGTGCTGACAGCGTGGAGCCTGCTTGGGATTCTCTCTCCCTCTCTCTCTCCCTACCCGTCTTCTGCTTACTCTCCCTCTCTCTGCCCCTCTCTCTCTCTCTCTCTCTCTCTCAAAAAAAATAAATAAACTTTAAGCAATAGTTTCCAAAACAAACAAACAACGATAACAATAACAAAATCCCTTCCCACCGCCCCCCACACCCGAGGTTCTGGTTTAATGCATGTAGGTGGCCCAGGCATCAGGATCTCAGTCCCCAGCGAATTCTAACCCAAGCCAGGGTTGAGCCAGTGTTCTGCGTCCGAAGCCAGGAAATGAGTCTGGCCTTGTAAGAACACAGACCTGAAGGGCTCACAGCCTGACCCCTGGGGGCAGGAGCGTTTCTGGAAGATGGAGCCCGGTGCCAGGAGAGGGACACAGGAACCCCTGATTTGTGACAGTCGGTCGGGGGCAGGGGAGATGGGGAGAGGGTGTGCATCCTCTGGGCCCAGCTGCCGCACTCCGGACTCACCGCTGTCTGTTAGCTCCTGGCTGACCTCTTCACTGACCTGGAGGGAGGGAATCGGAAGACAGGGGGGCAGCTGAGAGCGGCGGGCAGGTGCCGGTCTGTGCCCCCCTCCACGCCTCCCCTCTCTCCGGCCGCCCCCACGCTAGGGAAGGGACAGGAGAACAGAGTGAGGACGCTGAGGCCTGCGATGGAACCGCCCGCAGGCGGGGCCCTGATAATCCCGGGCACGTGAGAGACTGAGCGCCCTCCTCGGGGGCTATGGCTACACTGTGCAAGCCAGGAAAGGCTGTCCCCACGTGGGCCGCCTGGCGTGGCCAGCAGCGTGGGCCGGGTCTCCACCCCTGTGCTCCGGTGCACGCATCCCGGGGCCTGCGGGGGACGCGCCGGCCGGCCGCGCTCACCTCCCTGGGCCGGGGCAGAGATGGCTTGCAGGACACCTTCCGGGCCAGGGCCTCGCTCTCCGGCTCCGCCACGGGGCTCTGCAGCAGGAGCAGTAAGACGTCCGTCTCCACTGTGATGTCTGCGCCACGAGGGGGGGATAGAAGGACCACGGGCTGGCCGGAGGCCCCTTCCCCGTTTTAGACACCCCAACAGTCCCGGTGCACCACCCCCTGCAAACCACTCCTGCACATGCACACGTGTGCCCAGGAGGTGGCAAAGCCCGGCCCTTAGCACGTCACTGGCCTCTGAGGGTCAGGCCTCTTCCGTAAGACGAGGGGGAGGACCCGGTGATGCCTAAGTTGCTCACAGTTACACATGTGTGTGTTTGCATGGTTGCCGAAGTTGGGGGTGTCCTCAAGGCCCATCCGGGCACGTGATCTCATGGTCTGGAAGGACCAGGCTCACCAGCGAACTCGGAAGCAGCACAGCGAGACCCGAGCCCTCCGCCTGGGTTTTCTCTACCCTACCTCCCACGGGGGCGCACAGACAGACACCCAGAGACTCGCGCGCCATCTTCAGCCCCCTCCGCGCCCCCGGCCTCCTCCATCCCAGCACCTGATGCAGACTGTGCCCTGGGGGGGCCCAGGCCCCGGCCACCTCGCCTCCCGCCCCCTCCACCCTGGCCCTGGGTGTGCCTCACGCTCCAGCCCTGCTCAGCTCCCCAGGCCCTCGAGCGGCTCGGGCTGGATGAGAACCTGGAAAGCAGGGCCTCTTCTTGGGGTCCTGGTCCCAACAGCGCCTCATCAGGCTCACCATCTGCTGGGCCTCACCCGGCCACGTATCAGAGACGGACTGCAGAGACGGCCGCATGCCCGCAGCCACTCGCACGACAATGGTCACCATGTGGAAGCCTGCGAGGGGAAGCCAGGCTGTGCGCAGGCCGGGAGGCGGGGCCGGGGTGGCCGTGCAGGGGGGCGGGGGGGGGGGTGATTCCCACAGAGTAGTGCACACAGCAAGAGCAACATAAATGCACCGTGCGTCAAAGCTAGGTTGCAGGCCAACTTGAGGTTCCGATCTGAGCTGCCGGGTCTCTGGTCCGGCCGCGGCCGCCTCCCAGGCCGAGACGGGACAGGACCACGCACTGCAGGCCTCTGCTGCCCAGGGGACTGGTTCCAGGCTTTGGCTTTCAACACTGTGAGCTCGCCCGGGTTTCCTGACAGTCTATGGACCTGGCGTTAGGTGTCAGGGTGGCGGCAGGAGAGACAGAAAAGAATACTTTGGAAGCAAAGGAATTAGAGCCAGAAGCGTGGTCTGGGCTGACGTGTGCCCTTCCTGTATGGTTACGCGAGCTTCGGAAGGCAGGAGAGGAAGGCAGGAGGGTAGGAACGGGAATCCAGAAGCCCCAAGCTGCTGCCTGCCCTCCCCCGAGAGCCCTCGGCCCCTCCCAGCCCCTCCCCTCCCCCCGCCCATCCAGCACCACCTGCTACCTGAATACGGCTTCTTCTGAGTGAGGAGCTCCCAGATGACAATCCCAAAGCTGCAGACAAGGCACAGTGCTCCCTGAGTGACCTTCCCAGACACCGCGGCCACCCCACGCGGCGGGCCCCGCACGCTCCCCGGCAAGGCGTCTCCAGCGGCCCCCTTGCCGTGTCATGCCCTGGGGCCTGGGGGACGGCTCAGGTGGCGTGGTGAGGAGCAGCTACCCGCCCCCCAGAGAGGGCCCAGCCCCCTCTCACCTGTACACGTCATACTTGGGTCCTGGGGCCCTGTCACTTTCCAAGAACATCTCAGGGGGGATGTAGCTGAGGGTGCCCCGTAGAGCTGACCTCTCAATGTACTGCATCCGGGTCGACTGTTCCATCCACTTGGACAGGCCGAAGTCCGAAATCTGCGGGGAAGCCACAGTCTTGCCTCCAGGAAACTGCCTTGATCTCTCCCCCTCCTGTAGCCTACGCTTCCAGGATGGGGGGGCGGTTAAGGGCCCGGGCACCTCTCCCACGTATGACCTGGATGACCTCAGACAAGTTACTTTCCTTCTCAGAGCCTCGGTTTCCTCATCTATGAACTGGGAATAGCATGCACGCTTAACGGACGGTGCTCTGATGAGCATTACATGGAGACATGTGCAAAGAGCACTTACAATTCTGTCTGCCACGTAGCAAGTACTTAGCGGGCGTGCCCATGAACCAGACGGACTGTGGGTAAAGCTCCCGTCTTTGGAAAGCTTCCGTCCGTCCACTTACAAGGGCCCGGAAGAATATACACCACGTCTATATATCCCCTGACTGCTCCTAACCATTGGTTCATTCGTATTCACCGGGTGCCAACCACCTGCATCCTGAGGATCAGGAAGCAGATAAGGGAGCTGACACCCTCACGCCTATTACTCCTCTAAGTGCTCACTCAAATAGGGAGGAATCGTCACTAACGAAACAGTTTCACAATGACTATATACTTACCATGGGGTTAGCACTATGAAGAGACAGAGGTACCATGAGGGTATACATAACAGGGGCCTGTTGGGGTACATCAGGGAAAATTCCCTGAGGAGGGAGTCTTCTGTTTAAGCGGAAATTTGAAAGATGAGCACAGGGTGTTAAATAAAGAAGGGAGGAGGGGAAACACTGGTCGTGGCACTAGGGACAGAATGTGCAAAGGTCCTGGGGCAGAGAGGGTGGCACATTTTAGGGACTGAAGGCCATTATAACCTTGCTTAGGAATCATCTCATTTCCACACATTCCACTCACAGCAAAGAATGGGAGGGAAAGGGAATATTCTACCCCCAGAAGAAACAGAAGACTGAGGGCCAAAGAGGGTTGCTGCAGGCATCCTGATACCCAGAGCCATGCACCAAACTCCACTGCTCATCCATCTGCCTTCAGGATTTATCCATGAGGGAGACTTAAAATTCTCAGCAGGTGAGGCAAGCAGGTAGATAATCTTGCTCACCTGCAGGAGACTCTGGAGTGGAAAGGGAGCAGAGAGGTTGACCGTGGCCTTTACCTTGACATGCATGTTGCCATCTAGGAGGATGTTGCCCGGTTTGAGGTCCAGGTGGAGCAGAGGCGGCTTAATGCTGTGGAGAAAGTTCATGGCCAGGCTGGTCTCATGGATGATGCGGAACTTGAGCTGCCAGGAGAGGCTGTGCGTGGGCAGCATCTTCTCCAGGGAGCCGTTGGCCATGAACTCCATCACAATGCCCAGGGGCTGCCTGCACACGCCATAGATGGACACGATGTGCTGAAACTTGATCTTCTCCATTTTGGCTGCTTCTTCAATGAGGCAGTCCATGTCGTAGCTGTGGACACATGGGGCGTGAGGGACAGAAGGGGATGGCCCGTTAATTCCCAGAGCAATGAGCAGAGCAACAGACCAGGCTTAGTGCCAGGCTCTGGAGACCCAGAGAAGCCTCGGGAGCTTGCAAGTTCATGCAGGGAGAGGGTGAGTTCTAGAAGGAAGCCTAACAAGATGCACAGAGTGGGGTCCAGATGGCCGGCAGCCACGGGACAGGACGCGAAGGGGTTGGCAAGCTCGGAGCAAACCCATTCTAGACAGGCGGCCACAAAAAGCCGGCCCGTTACTCTGCCGCTGGTCTCCCCTGGCAGGTCACAAATGCCCGGAGGACCACCATCACGCCTCACGCTTCTGTTTCAAAATACCATTTATTGCCATTTTGATTATGAAAGGCAGGAAATCAAGGGAATGCAGAGAAGAACATTAAATCATCAGTAATCCAACCTTGCAGAGCTGGCCTCTGTCAATATTTTAACATATACATGGTCAAGGTTATCTCTCTCCTTTCCCCCTCCCTTTCGCTCCCCCCCCCCCCAATCTCTCCATCCCACTATGTGGGCTGCTTTGTGAACTGCCTTCCCAGTTAGCAGAACACAGTGCCTCCTCACATTGCTGTTCTCCTGAAGGAGGGTCTGCACTGCCTGCACTGAACTCCGTCTAACGGATGAACTGCAATTATTCATCTTGCTCCCCCCGCCCCACCCCAGCACATTGCCGCACGCAGCACAATGCATCTTTGTCGAACTGGAGTCAAGACTTAAGGGAAGGCCTTACAACATGAGCGTCGGCTTGACCCCCTCGCTTCTTTCGCCCACACAACGCTAACTATGCAAATTGTTGGAGAGTGTTTGGGGATTGCGGGGATGAGGATTAGGGAGAAATGACATTTTTAAAAGCCCAGTATTTGCAAAACCGCGTGGGCACTGCAGACACAGGCTGCCGGGAACGTGCGTGCAGGGTGGCCCCGGGAAGCCAGCCAGAGACGGCCGGCCTCCAGAACAAACACCTGCCCCGCCTCGCATCCGGACAGGGCGGCTGGTCCAGGCGTCCCCCACTGTCGCCCCCACCTCTGCTCTCTTCCAGAGACCTCCCCTCCGCCTCTGCAGTACTTCTCTGTCTCCTCTTGTCCTTTTGAGTTCCCAGGAACTGAGATACTGGCCATGGAAAGGAAAAATCAAGGGATCTGGGACCTCAATGCACTGATTTCAAATCCCAGCTTTACTGCTTATTCGCTGCGTGACCCTGAGCAAGTAAACTCTCTGGGCCTCGGTTTCTTTCTTTCTTTTTTTTTTAAATAGTTTATTGTCAAGTTGGTTTCCATATAACACCCGGTGCTCATCCCCACAAGTGCCCTCCTCCATGCCCATCTCCCCCCTTCCCCTCCCCCACACCCCCATCAGCCCTCAGTTTGTCCTCAGCATTCAAGAGTCTCTCATGGTTTGCCTCCCTCCCTCTCCCCCATGGTCCTCCGTTAAGTTCCTCCTAATCCACCTATACGTGCAAACATATGGTATCTGTCCTTCTCTGCCTGACTTATTTCGCTCAGCATAACACCCTCAAGTTCCATCCATGTTGCTACACATGGCCAGATTTCATTCTTTCTCATTGCCATGGAGTATTCCATGGTATAGATAGACCACATGTTCTTGATCCATTCGTCTGTTGATGGACACTTAGGCTCTTTCCATGTTTTGGCTATTGTGGAGAGTGCCGCTATGAACATTGGGGTGAATGTGCCCCTATGCATCAGCACTCCTGTGTCCCTTGGGGAAATTCCTAGCAGTGCTAGAGCTGGGTCCTAGGGGAGTTCTATTGTTCATTTTTTAAGGAACCTCCATACTGTTTTCCAGAGGGGCGCACCAGTTTACATTCCCCCCAACAGTGTAGGAGGGTTGGGCCTTGGTTTCTTAACTATGAAATGGGAACAGCTTGCACAATTGCCCCGACAGCCTGGACGCACAGTCCACATGCCCCACTAGCCCCTCTCGCTGGGCGTCTGGTCTCCTACTTCCTCCTTTCTGAAGTGGGGTTTGACCTCAGGACCCTGAGATCAAGACCTGAGCTGAGATCAAGAGTCAGATGCTTAACCAGCTGAGCCCTCTGGGCGCCCCTGGTCTTGATACTTCTCTGAGCAGCTGTTGACAAGGTGTCCAAGGCCTCCCACTGTGTCACAGCCCGTGCAGAGTTTTCGGGTCTCGGTTTACCAGTCAGGTCTCTCCCTCTTTTTCTCGAGTAGTCACGTCCCTTGGCCGCGTGCCAGCTTTCCCCAAGATCCCTTCCCCTCCTGTCCAGTCCCGGCCGGCCCCTCCCTTCTCCCTCTGCACTGCCTCTCCCAATCTCTGCGTCTCCCGTGGTACAGGGCTCAGGGTGTCTGAAGCAGAAGCCGGGTGCTCCCCTCCACCCGCCCCTCCCTCTGCCTTCCTCTCGGCAAACGGGGCCTCCATACTCCCATCCTCAAAGGCCCGATGTCCTCCTTGACCTTCATCTCCCTCCCACGACCTCAGCACATCCTGTCAGGCACACCCTCAAAACAGAGCACCGTTCTGACGGCTCCTCACCAGCGGCATCTTGGCCCAAGCCTCCTAACTGGCCTCCCCGCTTCTCTCTTCCCCTCCACCATCCATTCTTAACCCAGCAGCCAGAGGGATCCTCATAAAATGTGAGTCAGAGCATGTCACCGCTCCGCTCAGGACCCTCTGTTGGCTTTCTTCTCACTCAGAGTTAAGCGAAGTTCTCACAATGGTCTAGGAAGCTTTGCGGGATCTTCCCCCGGGCATAGCTTGCTGACTCCTCCCCACCTCTGCTTCTGCCATCAGGGCCTCTGGTCCTCTTCCACCATGTCAAGCACGTTCCCACCTCAGGACCTTTGCACTTGCTGTTCCCTCTGCTCTAAAACAGCCACATGGCTTGCTACTTCTTTGCTTCAAATCTCTACTCAAATGGTACCTAATGAGTAAGGATTTCAAGTCTATATTAAATAGCAATCCATGGGGTGGCTGGGTGGCTCAGTCAGCTAAGCCACAGACTCCTGGTTTCAGCTCAGGTCACGATCTCATGGTCCACGAGTTTATGCCCCACGACCGGCTCCGCACTGGCATGGAGCCTCTTTGGAATTCTCTCTCCCTCTCTCTCTGCCCTTCCCCTGCTTGTGCTCTCTCTCTCTCTCAAAATAAATAAATTCATTTATTAACAGCAATCCTACCCCAACTCCAGCAATTCTTATGCCTCCACCTCCACACAGAGCCCACAAATTAATATTTCTAGATCAAAGTGTTTTCTTGGAGGATCAGATTATTCAACTCTCTTTAGGTATTTTAACCAAGAAAATGTCAGGTGGTTGTGAGTGCTATAGATAAAAATTATTTGTGTATGTATTATTTACTTACTTAATTTCCGTCTTGCCCTAGTTTCCTTTCTTCCTTAATTGATGAACTCCATGAGGGCAGGGACTTTGTTTTGCTTACTTAGTGCTCAGAGCAAATGAACGTCATCCATGCCCTTGCTTCAGCTACGACCTGTCATAATAAATGACTCACACATCTTCGTATTGTTAGCTCAGCCCTTCACTCTGATGTCTACTTGCCAATTCTTTTTGGCACCTTAAACTCAACCTGTACAAAACTGAACTCATGAATTTCTTCTCCAAACCTGGGCCTCTTTTCATGTTCCCTTTATTAATTGTCAACAATGTCATTCAAGAGACACCAACTAGGTACCAGGCTCTGGGGACAGAGCAGTGAGCAGACAGACTCAGCCCTCATGGACCAGACATTCTAGCAAACCCTTTGTTCCTCTGGGCAAGGCAGACATCAAATTAGCCTTGACGTTCCTCTTCCCCATCACGCTCCCCATTCACACCCCAGCACCAAGTCAAGTGGATGGTTACCTCCTAAATATGCATAATCCATGCCTGTCTTTCCCTCTGTCACTACGCATCAGGCTAGACTCCAACCATCTCCTGCCTGAACGGTGACAAGTCCTCACTGGACCAGCATCCACTCTACCCTTCCAATCCATTCTGCGTCCTGCAAATTCGATCAGCTCCTTTCTGTCACACACCGCCAACCTGGCTGCAAACCCTTCAGTGGCTTTCCATTGTTCCCCCCCGACCTTCAACTCCAGCCATGACAGCCTTTCTCCATCTCCACTTACTGTGCCCTTCTTGCCACAGGCCCTTTGCACATTCTGCTGCCTCTCCCTGGGAAGTTTTTTCCTCTTTGACTACTTAACTTACACTCATCCTTCAGTCTTCTGTTCAACTGTTATTTCCTCAAGGAAGCCTTTTCTGATCCCAGTCAAACTCTATTAATAGGCTGTCACAGAACAATAAATCTTTGTTGCTTTTCTCGCAACAGCACATTTACATCTACTTGTGGGGTTATCTGACTCATGTCTCTGTCCCCCAGGCTGTAAGCTCCAGGAGAACAGAGCCCTATCTGTTGCACTCAACATTGTATCTCAGGGTCTAGCACCTTGCCTGACACACAGGAGGGTGGCAAGAAGCGTTTGTCCAGGGAAGGAATGAATGAAGAGGTGTAAAGAGTGACTCACGTAAATCTCCTAGGATAGTACTCCACACTCAGCAGGCATTAATCGTCATTAAATCCCTCAGCGCTTCCCCACCCCCCAGAGAGTTCCCAGAACTTGGAAAGGGCAAGTTACTGTCAATGTCTAACAGTGCAGCCTTGTGAATGCCATCCCCTTCCTTTTGTCCTTCACCTCAAAGCCCGTAAATGATGTGGACACACCCTAGAAAAATCGGACTGTACTCCAAAGCCAGCAAGGGGGTGCTGAAGGAGGAAGAGGGTCAAGTTGTGGGCTGTCTCCCTTTGCCTGCCTTCATGAAGCAGGTGGAAGGCCCAGGAATCAGAGACGGGGCTGGCTTGAGTGTGTGCAGCCAAAGGCTGGGTCTGGGGGCCTTGCATGGTGACCACAGAGAACATGACATCCAAATATGATGCCCCTTGGAGATTCCCCCCCCCGCCCCCCGCCCAGGCCTTCTAATCGATGGCCCAGGAGCCTTGGGAGTATGACAGGCAAGATTCTCATACTCAGACTTCACATCCTCAATGTGTCCTTCATGGCTGCACAGACGGCCAGCACACACCTGGTCCAGGCAAACGTGGTGGGCAGGAGATCAGAATGGGTAGAAGAAGGGGCGCCTGGGTGGCTTAGTCGGTTAAGCGTCCGACTTTCACTTAGGTCATGATCTCGCGGTTCGTGGGTTCGAGCCCCGCGTCGGGCTCTGTGCTGGCTGCCAGCTCAGAGCCTGGAGCCTGTTTCAGTCTGTGACTCCCTCTCTCTCTGACCCTCCCCTGCTCACGCTGTCTCTCTCTCTCT